TGAGCAGAGAAAAATTAACGAAAGCAAGAAGATTAGCTAGAGCATCCGTGCAGCCGCCCCTGGTGCAGAACCGTGCGTTGTCTGGACAAGTTCTAGTGACCCCAGTCGCTGGCTTCTCTCTCTGGCCTGGGGCTGTTTTTGTGGCATAGCTGTTCCTCCTCTTTCCCCTACTAGCACTTTTTTTGGTGTTGTCATTCTCCTTTCTTTTCCTTCTTGGCACTCGAGAGGTTTCTGAAGTCGGCTGTTATTTCTCTTTGCTGCCAAGGGAAAGATGTGAAGGAAGGGAGCGCAGTTTTGGAGACAGGGCAAGTGAGAAATGAAAAAGACGGGAAGAAACGTGGAAGCTGCACCTTGAGCTGACATTTCTGGACTCAAAGCAGTGTGCTAAACCAACCGCTTTCTGCTGGCAGGCAAATACTGATACACTTAGCGTTTGCCCAGATTGCCTCCCCAAGCCCCTGAGTGAGAGCTGCACTGATATTCTAGTTTTGATGCTCTGAAGTGGTCTGCAGCCTTTCCTGAAAGGACGTAGTTAGGCATTATTGTTTTTTTTGAAAATATGCTCCTTGTCACTGCAAGGGCAGCTCTGCTCTTTTCTAGGTATATAATCCTCCCCCTCCCCCCCTTTCCTTTTTTTTGGGATGCAACACAGCATTAAGCAATCTGAAACAAAAATTGACTACCTTTTTTGTTTCTTATTATTTCAACTGAGAGATGTCTCAAACAGCCTAGGATAATGAAAAGTAAATCAGGCAGTCTGTTTTATTTGTAATGCAAAGCTGTTACTAAAACTCTCCCTAACTATTTTATCCCATATTTCTTTAATCTAAAGCGATTCGGTGCATGAGTGGAAAATCAGTTGCTCACAAATCCGTTGCTGTGCAGCCTTTTACATGAACAGCGTTATAAGGATAAGCAAACGGCTCCGTTCTAATTAGCAGCCCTTCTGCGGTTCCATACGTTCCAAAACATAAGAGTCGGCTACGGTGCCTAAAATAATCCGAGCAAAAAAAACCTCGTATGCCACGAAGATGGGGCGGGAGGGAGAGGAGGCAGGAAAGTCTGTTGTCTGTGTTCTTGGAAGCCTTTTCCATCTCCGTTTGGATACTGTCAGTTTCTGTTACACAAACATTACAGCATCCAAGGGGAATTAGAAATACTTACCCATGACCACAACGTCAGATCTTGGGTTTGTCAGGAGAAAGCAATGCAGAAGCAGAAGCTTGCACCCCGCTGCCTGCATTTTGGTTTTGGCATGCTAATAAACCCCTCCTAAAGCTGCATAAAGGTAAGGCTGGCTGTCTAGGTGGAATACAGGAAATTTAAAAATCTTACCTCATAGATGTGAAATGTTTTTTATATCTATAAAAGTGCTGTGTAAGTCCTAAGTAATAGTTATTGTCTTTTGTGATGTCTCTGAGGTTGCACAACAGCTTCCTTTTATACCAATCTTTTATGAGCTGGCTAGGGACTGCTCAGGACAGAGACACAAAAGTGAGATACTGCTGATCAAATGGCTTTTCACTGAGATAGTATTGGTCAAACTGAGCCTTTTAACTTCAACAAGAATTGTTGTAAATGCACCTTTTCCCAACATCAGTGACAGGGGAAAAGGTGACGCTCATCCCAAACTTTTACTGGTTTCCATCTCTACTTTTTTGCACAGGTCTATGCACTCTTCAGTGTTGTGACCTCAGTGTAATCCAGACATATCTGAGCAAGTTGGAAGCCAGCTAGCTCGGGAGCTGGCCTGGCCCAGTTGCTGTACTTGCGTTGCAGGGAGTCTGCAGAGTTAGATATAGGCTGTTCCTACTTAAAACACCTACTGAGCTGATGTGGTTGCAGGGCCGTTCAACTGAGAGCGTGTGTTGAAATGAAACTCTTATGTTTCCATCTAACCCTTTCTTAAACCAAACAGGCTATAATCCTGTTATAGGCAAGGCCAAACAGCTATAGGGCAGGAATAGCAACCAATTGTGGGGTTTTTTGTTGTTTTTGTTTTTTCCTTGCTAAGTGGAATCTAATCTATGTTACCAAAGCCCGTCAGCTGAAGTTGTGATTTTAAGAAGTGAGCTGTGTCACACAGCTGCACAGTCCTTGAGGTACAGATCTACTGGCCCAGCATAAACTAATGTAATTATTTTGCTGTGCGGAAGTATATACTAGTTCTTAACACTTGCACCTTGGCCCAGTATATAACTGAGAGAGACATAGGAGGGAGTCAGACCTTTGAAACTGAGCTTGATCAACGAGAAATGAGCTGCCAGTAGTTAATGGTAAGGAGAGTTAACCATTGGAACAACTTACTCAGGGGGTGTGCCTGGACCTTTGTGGTCTGAAGGCTTTAGATCTAGTTTGGATGGACCAGAGGAGGTGCTTCAGCTCAGCTACCAGTCCTTGGGCTTCTTACAGGAACCTGCAACGTCCTGGCTTGTGTAGGACGTGAAGTTAGACTAGCTCAAGGACGGCCGGTTTCTATACCTCTTTCTGTGTTCTGCTTCTGTTCTCTGGATCAGAGCAATGCGTGTGTTTGAGCACCTGGTTAAGGTCCTGGCTTGGCGTTCCTTTGCTGGAATGCGTACGTCAACGCTGTCTGTACAGTCGGCCGGCTGACCAGTCAGCCTTCCCAAAGTTCATACAAAACTCCCTTGTGGTTGCCCATTCTGAGACTAAATGACCATAGCGATCCTTTCCTGGCATCTTGGGAATCCCACGTGGCGAAGACAACTGACGACACATTTTCATCCTATCCTTCCAGCAGTCCCCAGACGGAAATGGGCAAGTGTAGCAACATAAATGGTAGAGGAGAAAGAGGTTTGTTGTGACCTCAGTCTGTCTGTTGGGGCCTTCCCGTGTCTCTTGGTCAATCTGGGCATAAGTAGCGCTCATTAAAAAAGTGTGAGGAATGCACCAATGACAACTCCGCTAACAGTGAGCAGCTGTTGTAATGATGCCCTCCGGAGATGTGGCTCCTGCAATCTGAGCTGCTCCCTTTTTCCACACACAAGTAATTTCCCAAAATATTTATCGTGGGTTTGATCTTTGCCTGAAACTGAATTTTCTTTTCTATGGCTGGAACAGAATTGCTCTGGATTTGGAAAGACTGGGACTCTTCACTCGCCAGATGAGGGTGTACACATGTAAAAAGATGATATATTTCTCCGTTCGGTTTGGTTAGAGAAGCAAAGATTGTTAAAACTTTAAAAGCCTTGTTCAAACATTGATATTTTACAATGGGTGTTACGTGCCCACATCAGTGCAGTTATAAAGTATAATGGTTTTGTGCGCTTGTAGAGGTTGTAAATTGACAACTTCTAACGATATGAAAAGACCCTGCATTTGTACCTTACAATGTCATGAGGCAGCATTAAAGCTGTGTACTTAACCTTTCTTTTCCTACTTTTTTTGTATGTGCAGTTGCATGGTTTTAACTTTGCAGCAATAGTTTGTGACACAGAAATAACGGTATGCTGTAACGATGAAAGTTAGTGACTCTTGGCCAACTTGAGAGCTTTCTTCTGCACATTTGCCTGCAAGACACTGTCACCTTAACAGTGTTAGCAGCAGCCCCTCTGAGCTCCCGAGTAGCGCAGAAAAGGCCAGACCTATCTGTTCTCATCACATACACCAGGCATTTCTAAACAGAAAACTTGAGCTGCTTTTACTTCTGTAGAAACCAGTCCTTCTTGGAGCTACTTGTCTTGATCTGTGATAGCACTTCTCAAGGTCTTGAGTCTCCAGTTTTCTTATCCACTTTCTGCAACTCTAAGCAAAATATCCGTGCTACTAGTTCAGGAGGGTCATTGTCCTGGACTGCACAAATTTAATTAGCAGCTTCCTGGCCCTACTGATTTTTTTTTTCTTTAGTTAATTTTAACCCAACTGCCTGGCATTATGAGCCTTTAGTTCCCGTTTGAGGGGCTAGTTCCTCACATGAGCAGCCCCTGGGAAGTCGAGCTCAGCAAGTGATCACCGGTGGGAGCCAAGCTTATACGCTGCATTACACCATGGAAAGCTTCCGATCTCCTGTTGCAGACAAAATGTCTACAAAAACAATACTACCACTTTCCTAAATTCCTGCATTTTGCAGATGTGAAGCCAGATTTCTTTCGGGGAAGCCAGGGTGTGTTGGAGAAGATCATAGAGCGCTCTGTGTCTTTTTGCTGCTGCTGCTAATTTTTGTGAGCACCATAGAATACAGTAGAAAATTGAAACTGTGTGAAAGATCAACAAATCAGTGTAGAATGTCACGCAGCAACATCTGTTAACTTTGGCTCTATCTCAGATCTGCCTGCCCCCTCCTTCCCAGCCACAAGTCTCCTGTTTTGCGAGAGCTTGGAGTGATAGGGACCTAGGGACGGGAGGGGGGGAAGTCTGGCTGTTTCTCAGTGGTCTGAAGGGCTTGCAAAAGTACCATCTGGAATTAAAATTTGATGTTGGTGTGTTTCTATATTTTTAGTTATGAAACAAATGGGAATTTGCTGAATGAATTAATTGTATTGCACTGTAAAAGTCTATCTTGAGAGCCATTATATATGGCAGCTTGCGAAGCCTGCAGAGAGAAATGGAAGCGGCTTCCCTTTCTAATTAGGGCTTTCAGGAAATCGTTGATTACAGAATTTAATAGGCCTGCTCAGAGACATTTGTTTGATATTACTTCTGATAAACGAAACTTCTACCTAATGACAACTTTACTAGTGACACTAGAAGCAGCTATACTCTAACGGTAAGCCTTCCTTCAATAAAACTCTTTCTCCTTTCCTTCCTACCCTGTCTAAAGGGTTATAGCTGATGGAATATTACTTCCAAACTGTAAATTCCAGTAAAAAAAAAAATAAAATAATGAAGGAACAGTTGATATAGCAGACATGTTCTTTAATGGTGTGGTCTCAGTCCAGTTCAACTTAAGAGTGTAAACTTTTTCTTGCAACCTGTTTAAAAGAGTCAAATCAAAACCTTGACCCACTGTGTAGAAACTTTTTCTGTTTTTTTTTAAACAGGGTCAGCATATTTCCTTAGCTCCCATTCAAAAACTAGAGGAAGCTTTGTATGAGTATCAGCCTCTGCAAGTAGAGACATATGGACCACAAGTTCCAGAGCTGGAAATGCTGGGAAGGCTGGGGTAAGTAACAGCAAGTTGTAATTCCCATTTCATGGCATTTTATCTGGGAGCGTTACCATCTTCACTTTGCCAGCGCATAGGGTGGTGTTTGTTTTGTTTTGTTTTGTTTTTTAAGAATCTTACCGAAATACTAGACTTCCTGCCCAACCAACGTTTTGTTTGGGTGGATAAGCTAAAATTTTTGGTCCTCCAGCCTTTATAGATCTATTGAGAGCTGCACTGGATCGCATTAGTGTTTTTTAAGGTTGTCCTTGGCAATCGTAGTGAAGTAGCTGTTCATTTTCAGTTGCACGGTATTAGAAAATAAATAAATAAAAATCTGGGGCTTAATTTACCCAGCTGTAAGCCAGTAAAAATATTAAAGTTGGGCCTTTTGCCATGGAAAAGGATAGGTTTACTTGCCGACTGCTGTCTACAGTCAAACTGCGTTTGTGAGAAATGAAGACCAGGGCTTAACTTTGTCAAAAAGTATAACGCAGGGCTGGTCCGGCAGCTTGGCTGTGTCGTGGTGCGCAGCCGTGCTTGGAAGGGCATTTAGGAGCCTGCTGTGCTGGGGTAGTGGAGGTTGCGAAGTCCCAAAGGGACATCCCTGCTCTCCAGAGAAGGGTTAGTGGCTGCAACGCCATCTGTAAACATTTGCGGCCGCTTGGATAAGGGGTGTCACTGGACTGGTCATGCTTTAATTTTTAAGGTCACAAGCACTTACAGGGGCTGGAAAGCTATGTGGGAGAATGAACGTGCAGGGTGGCAAGGCAAGAATGAGTTTAAAAAAAAAAAATTTTTTTAGAAAAGGTGATTACTTTTGTGCCCGTTGGAAAACTGACGCTGCAAAGTCCTGGACAAAAGTGAGACATTTTAATGTACAGAGTTGGGGACTACTGAAATCCCAAGAGGAATCCCATCTAGTGCAGCAGCAGAGGAGGAGTTGCATCTCATCCAGAAAATGATGGAGAGGTGAATAAACAGTTTTTAAGCAGATAAGCAGTGTAACGTTGCTTCAGAAAATTCAAAGCTATCTAGAGTTGAGGTTGTCTCCATTTTTATTGTTTTTGTGTCATTATGATGGCTGTAATTTTCATTATCTGATATCAACTTCCAGGAGACAAATACTAATTAGCTGTTTAAACCTGGGCAGAGCCAGGTTCAGCCTTCACCCTGTACGTGGAGCACAGCTGCAGGGATCTCCAGCGCGAGGGGAGCTTTGAGGCCCTCTCTGCCCATAACCTTCTCACAAACGAAAATGCTTGGGGGGGAAAGAAAAATTGCTTGTGCGCAGAGGATTCGTCTGTGCACGTGTTTCCCCACCAGGTGAGTGCTGGCATCCAGGTCAGTTGGGAACTCTGTCTTGTCCATATCCATCTCATCTACGTACCTGGGACATTGGTTCGAAGGCAACCCAATACTTGGCAAAAGAAACTCCTTTAACTAGTGTGGTTTCAGTGCGAGCAGGAGGGTTTGCAAACAACACCTTTCTCCTTGCAAACACTTTTACATATGTGCAATTTTTTTCCCCTCTGAGGATGCTAACCAGAGTTGTTCTGCTTGGCTGTGGAGATGATGAAAGAGCAGCAGGGGTGCTGGCTGGCCGTGGTAGGAAGGGCTGCGCCGTGCCCACCAGAAGAGTTCATCTTGGTCCTGAGGCTGTTTGCGATTCCAAAGCAAATATATCTGTGGCGTGCGCTCCCAACCGGCACAACTCTAACCCTATTCCATTGGGTGTCTGAAATACCTTAAGCTGTGCAAGACTATTCGTTTATATATTTGTGTTTCTGTATTTATATGAACTCATGCGCATTTCCTGTTGATGATGAATGCTTAACTAATGTGCTTTGGTCCCTGTTTTTTTTTTTTTTTCTTTTTTTTTTCCAGGCAGCTGTATACAGCTGCCTGAATGAGGCAGAAGAGCTGGATACAATATTATCTGCTCCTGCTAAAGATGTTTAGTGGTATTCATACGAAGACAGGTTAATCTGAAATGATTTAAATTTTTCGGCTCTCCCTCTTTTTCCCCATATCCCTCATTTTTCTATAAGAGTTTTCCTCAGTCCTTGAAAATTAGTGAGCTTTTGCTCAGGTTATCAGTGTTACAGTTAGTCATCAGGTATAGCAAAATTTCATGCTCTTGTTAGTGTTCTGCTTTTTGAAGTGTGTATTTATTGCTGCTAAATAGTTCCCTCATATGTGCAGGCTGTTATCATCCAAGCTTCTGGAGCCAGAGTTATTGCAAAGATGCTGCCAACCTGAATTCTCTTCTGGTAGCATAATTTATTGGCTCTTTTTTTTTTTTTTTTAAAGATATTGTTTATTATCTTCAAAACACTCAACAGAATGGAGTTTTTGAATATTCAGATCTTAACCTCTTACCTTCTGCAAGACTCACTTTAGGCTTCAGCATAAGTGTGGTGTGGGTTTTTTTTCTTTTTCTCCTTGGTAAACTGCTGTAATGAAAGCAGCAGTTGACAAAGCTTTTAGCAAAGAGCAAGAAAAAGGGGGAATCCTTAAGGGATCACTTAGAACATTTGTTAGGGATCTTTTTTAATTAAAAGAAAATTGCTTTTTAAATTGCCTCCTATTATTTGCTCATTAGGCTTTACAAGAAACATTGCGTGCAGTCCCATAAACTTGATTCCATATCCTCCCACTGCTGTTCTGTATGGATTCTGCATATTTTGCAAAATAGGAAATTATGTTCAAACTGTCTTTAGAAATTTGTTTTCAGTTTCTTATGGGGCTGCAAATCTTCTTCTTTTTCTGTGCGCTGCAGAAAAGCATTGATGTCCGTATGATGTATTTCTGCTATTGTGTTGGAAGTCTGAGAATAATGAAGAAATAATTTCTCAACACAAATGATTGGTAGTATGTTTAGGGTTTTGTCCCCCTTTCCCCTCCCCCCTTTAAATGTAAGAAGATTTTTCTAAAGTATTGCAATATAGGCAATAATCTTGAATTACATGGCTTTCTGAGGACAATATATATTACACTGACTCATAGAGTACTTAGCCTTCTGGCAGGAAAGTGAAGCTTTTTCAGTGCTAGCTGCTGATAGAGCTTCCCTTGACTACACATCTGCTGGGTTGCTGCAAGGAAGTCTCCGTTGCTGATGGTCTTATGAATGTGACTGCACTCCATCCAGGTCGGTGAGGATTTGACATAGGTGGCAAAGGCCACGTGTGCTTCTCGTTTTGTGTTTAACGTGTTAAGCTAGCTCATGTTTTTCTGCACCCGTCGAATGACATGAAAGGAAGAAGAGTAGAAGAAGAGATGTACAAAAACATCTCACAGACCTTGAATCTTGGGTCACTAACTTACTCATCCTGGAGGGAGGCTCTAGAGCTGCTTTTCCGCATGTGGTGACTAATGGTCACATATCTGCGTGACTTTGTGGTTACTCTAAATTACCAAAGTGTTCAGTGATGTGCATTGGGGAATCACTGGTTTCTGGGTGGAGTTGAAGACAATCTGCTGGTGGCAGCTGAATTTAGCGAGCCCTGTCTTACTGAAGGCCCGGCTGGTACTGCTGTGCAGGAGCTGTTAGGTTGGTGGTGTTTGACTAAAGCCGGGTGTTTGAAGAGGGAATGTCATCTTCATTCAATTCAGCCCAAATCTGTTGATCTGCTGAGGTCATTGCAAGGCTATCTGACCTACCTTGGCTTTCGGGGAGAGGAGTGTGTGCGAGAGAACAAGTGAGAGCACCTGGATGCTCGGGCACTGGCTGCTGCTCTTTTAGTTCTGGGTTTTGTGAGAGGGACCGAAAAAAAAAAAAAAGCCTACCATTTTTTTCTTCTTTTATTTTGGGATGATGTTTGAGCTGAGTGCATTGGGTTTGTCTGTGTGGTCAGAGGTCTGGAAAATATAGGATTTTGATATGGCAAATCAAAAGAAATGCAAAATATAACAAACTGTCATGCTAAGTAGTGAAAAAGCAAAACAGGTTGAGGATGGAAATTAGTTTCCTTTATCGTGTGACTAATTTTGTTGACTTTTGTTTGTTATGTAATTTTGGTTAAAAAAGAACAAAAACAAAAAAACCCTGAGGATCGAAATGACATTTGTTTGAGGTCCTGAAAAATGTAAAGACATTCTTGGGATTATTTGTGAGAGTATGTAAGGCGAGCAGGAGCCGCGACATTGCATTCTCACACCAAGTATTTACAGCTGTGGAGGAGCCATACACAAGCTACTTCTCTAAGGTACTGTAAATTGAAAATTTGCTTATGTGATTAAAATTTTGGGCACAGAGGTCTGAACGTCACGTCTCCAAGTTTGGAAGCAGTTTCTCGTAATCCGGAGTGGATCCTATTCTAACACAGCACCAGGGCCCCTTCTCACCGTTCTCACAATGTAAAGGGCCCTTAATTTACAGGAGTGTCTTAAAATTTTAGTTTGCGCTCAAGTTAAATGCTTTGCCTTAACAGAGAACTCTTGGGCAGACATTGTGAACAAGTCAGACCCAGGATGCCTAAAGTAAAACTGTGTTTGCCTACCTAACCCTGGAGAGATGCATCTGAATACATGTATGTAAATATAAAAAAAATTGAGTTTGACCGTTGCTCCAAAAACCTGTGATTTTTGTTGAGGGAAAATGTGACTTTGATCTATCAGTTTGCTTTCAAGAATAACCACAATGTTAGGAGGAGTACTCAAGTCGTTTAGGTTTTTAACTATGGTGCAAAAATAAAGTTCAGTGGTGAACTATAATGAAAATAGGTAATATATCTTCATTGTTAATTTAAAAGTGAAATCTAAGCAAGATGTTGTATTAAGAGCTATGGGTAAATATTGAAGCAAAGTCAGAATTCCGTGGGAATTCTGTATGTAAAATGAACATGTTTTAGTTTATAATGAACAACTGGATTGATTCGTTCTTTTTTTATAGTATGGGACAGCTCAGTCATTTTAAATTTTGAATTAAGATGAGGAGGCTGGATTTCAGATCTGCTGTAGCTTTGTTAGCATTTAATTTTTAACCTTCATTTCAAGTGGAAAATTTCTGCATATTT